GGATTAAATTACAGACAAGGCAGTGGTCAGTAAAAGTAGAGCCATCCTCAGACAATTCTTGACGAATTGCCCTTTTCCAGTCTGACAAGATTGTTGTCCAAAGCAGTGCTTTCCAAATTTTTTCACACATGATGCTTTATCAGATCCTACTTTCATCTGTCTTTCTGGTTATCCCAAGGGCAGGAGGATCAATACTGGTTGCTTTATAAGAACTCAAAAGTGTAATTTCTCTCGGGCTTTAGAACTAGAAATTGCTGTGCATTTGCTGAGAAATCCATCTGTTTTCATTGGGTAGATACTGAATTGGGATCCGATGACATTTTCCTCTTTGCTCTGACTGCTGGGAAGCTTGGAGACAAATCTGTGGTTTATATTTAACAAAATCCATGAGACCTGAGCAGGTACTGCATTATTATGCTTGTCTCACTATTTCCCTTTCATCTGTAGTTTACACACTTATTTTTCTGTTTTCTATGGTATGCATATCAGACTGCCACAGAAATATTTTAGTATTTGCTTGTGCATAGGCCCATGTGTTGCTAATCAGTAGGCCAGACAGATATATATACAAACATTTATGCCAAAGCACATTCATTTCTGCAGCAACACTGTAACATCACGTTTAAAACTAATTGCTCCTGGGGAAATTTTATGTACAAATTATATTATAGATACTTAAAATATCATTCAGAAAGGATAACTTTCTGATCTTGGTGTTTTGTCCATTATCTAAACTTTTGTCTTTCTAGTAGCTTTGTTTGAATTAATTTTACAGTCTGTATGTAGCCTGTACCTATTTTATACCTTTGTCTACTTAGAGGTCTTCAGATTGAGCTAGTTAAGTGATTTGTTTTAGCTGTTAGCAACATCATGCTTAAGAATTTTGAAAACAAATAGATGGGTTTAAACATTGGATATTGGTAAAAATATTGGTAAACGCTGCATATTCATATTATGTGACTGTAGGAACAGTATGGTGTAGAAGAAAATTCATAGCATTTGTATTCGAAAAACTTGTCTTTTGTCGCTCATAGCTGCGTGATCTTGTACAAATCTCTTAATCTCCATGATTCAGTTTCTTGATTTCAATTTAGGGATGGCTGTATTAGTAACATTCAACCTCACAGGGTTGTTATGAAAATAAATATGGTTATGGTTCATGTGAAATATTTTAAGCTTTTTAAAAAGGGAATTATTTTTCTCTTAATCTTTTTTGATTGTGGGGAACCAATCTATCTGTCATTAAAGCTGTTGCCTAGGATATTAGCTGAATAGGATCATACAAGTGTTGTGTGACATTTCCATTGCTTTGAGGACAAATCACTTTTTTCCTCTCTGTGTTGCCATGTATAACAACTTATGCTGTAAACTCTTTCCTCATTTGATCTTGTCAGTTCTTGGCTTATTTAAAATTTTACAGTCTGTCTCAAAGACTTTAGAATATTTACTTTCTTTTGAAATTTATTATGTTATGTACATGATGAGGGATGGTGTTGCTTTTCTGGAGACTTGCAGACAAGTGATTGCTTACAAAAAAATCACTGATCTCTGAGAAGGGGGCATATATTTCCATAGAAAATAGGCTAATTTCCTCTAGCTGAACCTTGGGAAACTGTGTCTCATTAAAGATGTGTGTGAAAAATATAAATCTAGCACTGGAGATAAATTTAGAATGTTTTTTAAATTTACCCTTTCATCTTAACATAGGGATAACTGGGACCTGAGAGACTTAGGACACTTCTTCATAGATACCCATATCTTTCAAGAGTGAGGAAAATAACAATAAAAGCTTCCCAAAATTGCTTAACCCAAGCACAATTCTAAATGTTATATATATATATTTTTTTAGATATATATTAATTATTTAAATCTTCTGGAATCCCTATAAGGTAGTATGGAAGCCAGCTTCCAAAATGATGTCTAATGGTACCTCCTTCTTGGTATCCATACTCTTGTATAGTCTTTATATACTGAATAGAATTGACCTATGTGACTGATAGGATATTGGAGAAATGGTAATGTGTTACATCCGAGACCTGACCAACCAGAGATATTGTGGCTCCCACCTTTCTTCTTGACCTCCTTGTTCTAGCTAGCTACTAACTGTATCTTGAGGATGCTTCAGCAGCTCGTGGAGGCCCACGTGGGATGGAACTGAGGTCTTTAGCAACAACTAGCACAATGTCAGTGAGTCATCTTGGAAGTGGATCCCGCTGCCTCAGTGTGACCTCCAAATGGCTGAAATTCTGCTATCCTCTTGACTATGAATTCGTGAGAGACACCCAGTCAAAAATCCTCCCTCTAAGCCATTACTGAATTCTTGATCCAAAGAAACTATGAGACAATAGTTGCTTATTATTTCTTTCTCTCAGCTTTCAGATGTAATTGACAAGATGCATATATTTAAGGTGTACAAAGTGATGTTTTGAGAACTTATTAATATACCTACTTCATGGAGTTACCTTTCTGTTTGTTTTTGTAGTAAGAGTACTTAATATCTGCTTACTTTTCAAATTATACTAAGGTGGGCATTTGGTGTGGCAACTAAAACAGTGCTTGAGACACCTGTGTCCTGTGTCCCATATCGGAGTTCCTGTTTTTGAGTCCTGACTGCTACCATTTCCAGCTTCATTCTAAATTGCACCCTGTGAGGCAGAAGATGATGACTCAGACATTCAGGTTGCTGCCATCCGGGTGGGAGAGTTGGACTGAGTTCAGGTTTTTAGTTACAGCCTGGCCCAGGCTTAGCTGTTATGGGCATTTGGGGAATGTACTGGCAAATGGGGGTTCTCTCTCTGTCTCTCTAAATAAATAAATAAATAAATAATTTGTATAATACAGTATTTTTAAGTATAATCATTATGCTGTACATTAGGTTCCCCAGAGCTTACTATTTTCATAACTGAAAGTTTGTGCCCTTTAACCAGATAACCATTGTCCTCCAAACTCCTGGTAATCAAACCTCCTGTCTATTGCTCCATGTTGGACATTTTCTTCAGATTCCAGACATAAGTGAAATTATGTAGTATCTGTCTTGTGTGCTGAATAATTTCACTTAGTATATTGTTCTCTAGGTTAATCCATTACTGTACATTAAAATGTGTAATTCAGTGTAACTGAATAAAATGTAAGCCTACTAACAAAAAAAATTACTGGTATGTATTGTGATTTCTTTTAATGTAAAATGTTATCTTGAAGTTTTCATGTGTTATTACCGTAACTTGCAATTTTTAAAGTCCTACAGCAGTGTTCTTAGAATTCCTTTTTTTGTTAAAATTATTTATACTTATATATGCTCAAGCTGACTTACCTCAAATGGTAGAGTTAGAAACATACCAGGGGATTCCAATTCAATCCCATCAAGGTGGCATGTACCAATATCATCTCACTAGTCCCAGTGAACAATTTCTGTTCACAATCGATCATAATGATAGGACTAAGAACCAAAGGGATCACATAAACAAGAATAGTGTCTGCAAATACTAGCTGATAGAATAAAAAAGGGAGAGAATGATCCAACATGGGAAGTGAGATACACAGCAGACCCATAGAATGGCAGATGTCCTAAACAGCACTCTAGCCTCAGAATCAGCCCTTAAGGCATTCAGATCTGGCTGAAGAGCCCATGAGAGTATTTCAGGCATGGAAAGACAAGACACTCTGAGGAAAAAAAAAAAAAAAACCTAAATGAAAAATCTCCATGAGTGAGATCCCAGTGGAAAGAATGTGTCATCAAAGAAGGAGGTACCTTTCTCTGAAGGGAGGAGAGAACTTCCACTTTGACCATGGCTTTGTCTAAATATGATCAGAGTCAGTGAACTCAGGGGGCTTCCATAGCCTTGGCAGCTCATGACAAGAGCCTAGGGTGATTACTGATGCCATAAACAAGAGTGTCAGTTTGTTAAGTCAACAAGAGGAGTCACTGTGCACTTACTCCTCATGTAGGATCTTTGTCCTTAATGTGCTGTACATTGAGATTTAATGCTATAACTAGTACTCAAACAGTATTTTTCACTTTATGTTTCTGTGTGGGAGTAAACTGTTGAAATCTTTATATACAGAAGATCAGTTTAGCATACATTAAGTAAAGAGAATCGACAATGAATTTTGATGTGAATGGAAGGGCAGAGGGAGTGGGAAAGGGGAGGGTTGCGGGTGGGAGGGATGTTATGGTGGGGGAAGCCATTGTAATCCATAAGCTGTACTTTGTAAATTTATATTCATTAAATAAAAGTTAAAAAAAATTTCTTAAGAATTTCAAATATTGAATTATGGTTGCTATGTAGTTCATACTTAGACATCAGATCCTCTTTGCTATAAAGAGAGTGCAACTTTAAAAACTGAGCTATTACAAGAAAAGTAGAGATTCACATGAATTTTACTGTTCAATAAAATATGCTCTTCACTTGTATTTTAATACTGATGTGCCTTCTGGTTCACTCACAATATTCTGAATTAAAAAAAAGGTTAATTGTGAATAATGGATTCAGAAACCATGGAAAATCTATTGTGGTTCAGATAAATTTGAAAGATTTACTGATTTTTTTCTTAGATTTTTCTAATTTAAGTTACTTCATGATACTGTGTCTATGGGGAGACCTTCAACAAAGTTCATGGAAACTAAGCAATATGGAAAAACTACATGGATTAAAATATTTTTGCACCAAATAAACATGTTAAAATATCATTTTCCAGGAGCATTTTGAAGGTGCCCTTGTGTGTGTATGCACTTTTAGAATCAAGTTGGAAATCATTTGAAATACAGATAAAACAGTAGCTTTTCATGGATTTCCATTGCATAATACAGTAATTAATACTAATTAAAATGTTTTATATCCAAGTTTGTAGACTGTATGGGTAAGAATTTTTTTGAAAATTATGTTATATGTTTATATGAACTTCCTAGTGGGATAATTAGGTCCAATCTATATTTTAAGGTCAAATAAATTTTTAATATTTCATTCCATATTTTGGAGATTAAAACTTGACAAGAAATGCAGAGGTCACCATAACTGAAGCATCTGAAGATGATTATGAATATGAAGAGGTAATTTGTTGATATTAGGAATTTATTATATAAATTAATTATAGTCTTCCTCATGAAATATTCATTTTATTTTTTGTGTCATGTAAATGATTATTTTTCCCTTAAGAGATAGTGATTTTTCAACCGAATTTAGCTAATATCAGCTAGGTTAAAAATGTGAAAATTCTATTTAAACGTTTAGATTGCATGATACATCTGGCTCTTTTGGTTTTCCTGTTAAGTGTGTCTCATTTAGCTCCTTATAACCTGCCTTGTGGATATATACCCTAGACTTACCATTTCTGTCCAGTAGGCATTTCCCATCACTGAATTTGTTCTTAACAGGGACTTCCAAATTTTCTCTACCCAGTTGGAGCTCAGGCCTCATGCTTCTTTCACAGTTTGCATGCACTTCTGTCTAAAGCTTTCCTTTCATTTATTATTCCCATGAGACTCAGCTTCTGAGACTTCGAGGATAAGTGTTTTTTATATGATAGAAGCTGTGATTGAAACTGTGGAAGCAAGTCTGGTCTATTGTAGCCTGGGTGAGCCAGAAACTGGACCAGCATAAGATAGACTTTTTTTTTTTTTTTTTTTTTTTTTTTTTTACAGGCAGAGTGGACAGTGAGAAAAAAAAACAAAAAAAAAAGGTCTTTCCTTTTGCCTTTGGTTCACCCTCCAATGGCCACTGCAGCCAGCACGCTGCAGCTGGCACACTGCGCTGATCCGATGGCGGGAGTCGGGTGCTTCTCCTGGTCTCCCATGGGGTGCAGGGCCCAAGGACTTGGGCCATCCTCCACTGCACTCCCTGGCCACAGCAGAGAGCTGGCCTGGAAGAGGGGCAACCGGGACAGGATCCGGCGCCCCGACCGGGACTAGAACCCGGTGTGCCAGCGCCGCAAGGCGGAGGATTAGCCTAGTGAGCCGCGGCGCCGGCCAAAGATAGACTTTTATTACTGCTGGTAAAATGGAAATTACATGTACCACATAAAGCTACTGAAAGAGTTAATAAATGTAAAGGACTTGTCAAAGCAAATAAGAAATATGTGGTGTTAACTATGATTAATGTCATAATCACAGTCCATCCCAGTATTTGAAGGTTTTAACACACGGAGTGAATGCTGTTTTGTTTTTAATAAACTAGTTTGCATTGCTCATAGTTATTAAAATGGTAATGGTGACGAAAATCTGGAATGGAGAAAGATGGTGGCATTTAGATAGCCTGCAGTACTTTTAGCAGAATTGTTTAGATTACCTTTGTCTTTGTAAGTAAAAGCAGTTGTTCATAAACTGAGAAGTGGCATTGAGTGATTTTACAAGGAAATCGGAAAGCTCCCTTTTTATTACTGATCTGTTTCTCACATATCTTTAGGGTGATATTACATCTTTTATAAAGTGTGTTTCTTTGATCCTTTGCTTTGTAAAGTTATTTCTGAAGCAAAATACAGTAGTCCCTCAATCTGCAGTTTCCTTTCTATTGTTTCAGTTATATATATTGTAAAGCTCAGTCTGAAAATATTAAATGAAAAAACTTCATATATACAGTACATAAGTTTTAAATAATTTCATTATGGTATATTGATATGTTTTATTGTTGTCCATTATTAACCTCTCACCATGCATAATTTGTATGTGGAAACATATTATATAGTTTTATGGGGTATGCTACTATCCCTATATTCAATTCCCCATGAAATGTCTTAGAATGTGCCCTCTCATGGTAAAATGGGGATTGTGGAATGGCACTTTATATTTCTGCTCACTTTTCCTATCCTCTTTTTTTGTGGTCTAGATACCAGATAACAATTTTAGCATTCCCGAAAGTGAAGAAGATCTGGCAAAAGCAGTTCAGGTGGTCCAAGAACAAGCTACTGATGCCCAAATTTTGGTGAGAATTGTGAACACTATGGTAGCCTATAGTTTAGTTTATATGATGTTTTGAAAGTCATTTAAATATTAAATGCTTTACTTACTGAATGCTTTCATTTCTTTTTCACTTCTCTTCACGTAAGGCAGGCAGTGTCATTCACTGTTTATCTTATTCTCAACATCACGGTCAGTATTGCATAACTCTGTCACAGTGACACCTTCCTGCAGATCGCTGCTTGACTAATCTCAATGGAGATTAAGTTAAAGATTCTCAATGCTTATGTTCAGAATTTTGCTGCGTGTGCAGGTTTTGCAATCCATTTTAAAGTATTTTGTGTCTTATTTTTCATGGAAGTACTTAGTATATGGGGAATGCTTAATACATTGTGGCCTTGTCTTAAGGCTTATGAACTTGTTTTGATAAAGAATGTGGTAGGAGATGCTTTTTGATTATAATCAATTAAAAGTATAAAAATGATGACATTGCTACATAGCTGAAAACTTATTTAAAAATTGAAAATACTATAATTATGTTAGCAAAAATTTTAAAAACTCTTTATAGTTTTGTACTGTCATTAATTAAGGAGGATGTCTTTTTCAATAATTAAACCTTTTCCTCCTGAAAAAGTGTAAAGGCAGTTGTGACAGTAAGTTGTAGATCTGTCTTCCTCAGTGCAAAATAGTATGTGAGGCTTCTTCCTATATTGTTCCCTGTGTCAGTCTTTCCATATCATGTGCAGTGCCTAAATCTGCAAATCCATTAACTCCCTTCTAAGTATCTGTTCACTCAAAATTGAAAAATGGACTCTTGAGAACAACACAGATACTCTTTCCTCAGTGCCTTTCCATGTAAACATTGTGTGCATTCTGTGTAACCTGATATATGACAATTTCCAGGCTAGGAAAGAGAAGAAGGAAGGAAAATCCACTACCAAGTTTATGTAGATAAAAACAGAATTTATCATATTTATTCATAATTTACGAATGCTCAGCAGATAAATTAATGACTCTGCTAATGAGGAGAAATTGAATGCAGTTGAGAGACAATGTTGTTTTCATGTTTGCAAGATACTACCTGTTATTTGATTTATCTTGCCTACTAATCTGATATAGTGGTTTTTAGTGCTTTCTTAATTTCAAATGTCACTTGCTTAAATAGTTCCATTGTTTTAGTTCAGGGGTCTGCAAACTGTTTCCTGTTGAAATTATAAATATTTTAGGCTTTGGGTGTTGCACTTGATTTCTCAACAATGTTGTAGTGGATTCGTTTCTGAGAGGAGGAGCGTGGTGGGGGCAAGAGGCGCGGAGCCACCACAAAGACTCTGGGAGTCGGTGTAAGCAGGCCTGAGGCGAGCAGCCCGCAGACTCATTTATTTCAGTTGGTACCACATCTTATATAGCCAAGACTAGCCAATCTGGTCAAGGGGCAGTCTATGCCCCAACCAAGCCCAGCCTGTTGCCAGGCAGTTTCCAAAGCCATCCAATCACAGCCTGTTGCCAGGCAGTATCCAAAGCCATCCAATCACAGCCTGTTGCCAGGCAGGCTCTGTTGCCAGGTGGGTTTCAAAGCCATTTCTGAGTAACTGATGCTCGCTTGCCAGTGGCCACCTAGGCATGGCCTTCTCATTCCACCACATTTGGGGACCATAGATGCCTGCAGTAGTATAAAAGCAGCCATAGGCAATATGTAAACAAATAGGTTGGCTGTGTTCCAATAACTATTTGCAAGTATAGTTAGTTTGCTACTGATCTAGTTGATAGATATATTTACATAAACTATGGAATAATAGTACAGGTATTTCCATCACACATTATTTGCTCTATACTCTTTCTTAAAATCAAGCACCAAATTATTGTATTTTTTAAATAAGAATAATTCTTTATTAAAAGGTCCATGCATTTTTCTTCATCTTTTGATGTGTTTTAATTCTAGTGAATGGGAAATCTGACCTCTTATTGTCTGAAGGACAATCCAATCACACTCTTGTCTCAGGGCATTTGTATTTCCTGATGTTTCATCTGGAAGTTTCTCTTCATTTATGCTCAGATAGTGTTTTTTCTGGTATGGACCATAATCTTCAGAGACAGAATCCCAAAAGTCGTAATCTTGAATGTTAAAATTTGAAAGAACAAAATCTATTAAGCCTAAAATTGCTAATGCTCAAAATCCCCCAATTTTCCAAATATTAAAATCCCATATCTTGAAGTCCCAAAAGTTGAAATTCCCACATCTACAATTGCTGTCCAAAAAGGCTACGTAAGAGAAATAAAAAGCCAAATTCTAGGGATTCGATTAGTACATTTTCAATCCTATTTAGGAAAGCTGTCAAATTATTCAATCCAACTACTTCTGGCCCTTCAGTCATAGTGCCATGATTACCTTTACAATGCCTTCCAGAAAGGGAAATGTATTGAACATGTTCAGTGATCTTCTGTACTGATTACCTGGTGGTACCCCTAGAGTTAAAAAACATTAAATGGTGAACTATTGTTTTTTTTTTTTTTAAGATTTTATATATTTGAGAGGTAGAGTTACAGACAGTGAGAGTGAGAGATAGAAAGGTCTTCAATCTGCTGGTTCACTCCCCAAATGGCCACAATGACTGGATCTGAGCTGATCCGAAGCCAGGAGCCAGTAGCTCCTTTTGGGTCTCCCACATGGGTGTAGGGCCCAAGTGCTTGGGCCATCTTCCACCGCTTTCCCAGGCCATAGCAGAGAGCTGGATTGGAAGAGGAGCAGCTGGGACTAGAACTGGTGCCCATGTGGGATGCCAGTGCCACAGGTGAAGGATTAACTTACTTCACCACAGGTCCAGCTCTGGTGAACTATTCTTGATGAAGGATTTGACTCTCACCAAAACTGACAGAAAAGCTAGCACCTTGGCTAATGAGTTAACACCTTCAAAATTGTTCGCTCTGTTTGCATTTTTTCCTGTCAATCATATGATTGTTCATGCCCCTATTGCATTCAGAAATTTTTGAACTCATCATTTTGTTTATATATTAAAGAATGGAAAATGCAGAACACTTTATAATCACCTATTTGGAGACTTGGTGGACTTTGTAGTAGAAAATGAATTTCAAAGATATCTCTAAATCTTAACAACAGATTTGGAATTAATACAATCAAGTGTTCTAAGCTTTTTCAAGGTGTTATTAAAATTTGTTTATTTCATTCAAGATTTAGTCAGATTGAGTTCCAGTTTGGAGCCTCTGGGGGAGAATTCACTTTTGAGCTTCATTCAGATGGTTGGAAAGAACCTGCCTCTTGAAATCATATGAGTCAAATCTCTGTTTTCCTGCTGACCGATCTGGATTAAATTATGTCCCGTCTAAATTTACATGTTGAAACCCTAACCTCCAATGTGACTTTATTCCATTCAAAACAATGAATACATTGACAGAAAATTCAGATGAGTATATCTGCTGTGAGATGAACAATGACAAAAACTTCAGTTTAAAAAATGTCATTTGTCTGCAATGGCATTCCTTCCAGCTGATGAAACTCCAGGAGTTTTTAATGAGTTAAAACCACATTGGCCTAAAGGGGAGCCATTGAAGTTACTGACTGGTTTGAAAATAAGTATGTGCAAGGTAGGATAAGTACACAAGCAATTATGTTGCTGCTGTTGTCACCAATATTGTTTCTACTAAATTTGTTGACTGCATATGAATGCATGTGGAATGGATTTTGGGATGACACAGAATGGGAAAAATTAACAGAGAATACCCACGTTAATATATAGAGAATCACAGAAGAAATTCAAAAAAGCAGCTCTTGTAGAAAATGAATGTGAACCTATTCTCAGAAGAATCATCCACTAAAAGGAAAAAACGATGCTATTCATAATGATGCAAGACATCAACATGTAGTTAATATGTCTGGATTCTGGCTGCTCTTTTGGAACATCTTAGTGCAGGTGCCTGTAATCTGTGTCTGCAATATACTTTCTGTGTGGCAGCTTTCCTCATGACTTCTTTTTTTTCCCCAGTATTTTAAATTGTCAGCATTGTATTTTTACAACTTGCTGTAATATATGTTTAATCGTCACATAATTTCCAATATTGGAGATATAAATTATACAGATTTTTAGAGAGTTCTGATTCATAAAATGTACTTTTGCAAATTTGCCTCTGGGGAAGTGCCTTATCACAGCATTGTTTTTGCAAAAAAGTGTGTGAATATGTAAAAACATCGAAACTTGCTCATCGAATGTAGAGACGTCCTTTTTGTGAATCTACATTTGTGAAAGGTAACTTTTCTGGAGATCTTGATTCTTTCTTGATTTGCATATGTGGTAGTGATCCATCGCAGTCTTTGTCAAAAGACTTAGGTTGTCCATTATGGTGATTTAGGTGAGTGCAGTATGAAGCTGCATGCACATAATCACCAACTATAGCTAAAAAAAATTTTTTTTATTTGTTTGAAAGAGTTACAGAAGAGGGAGGGAGAGAGAGAAAGAGGAAGAGAGAGAGCCTTCATCTGATGATTTGCTTCCCAAATGGCTACATGGTCAGGGCTGGTACAGGCTGAAGCCAGGAGCCAGGAGCCTCTTAAGGGTTTGTGCAGGTGCCCAAGCTCTTGGGTCATCATCCATTGGTTTCCCAGGTGCGTTAACAGGGAACTGGATTGGAAGTAGAGCAACTGGGATTCAAACCGGCACCCACATGGGATGCTGGCATTGCAGGCGGCAGCTTTACCCACTACACCATGGTGCCGGCTCCGGTTTGTTTGCTGTTAACTGTTGTGCCTGTGTAACTATTGTTAGTATACTTGAATGTTTATCCTTATAGAAATGTATATACTATTATTGCCTATTTTATTGTGTAAAGTGAACTACAAAGTATTGTGTTTTTTCTCAAATAAATCTCCTTGTGAAATGTAAATAAAAGTCTTCCAAGGAGTTTTTATTGTTTCCAGAATTGTATTTTTGAGATTTTGATCTTTTGGGATTTTTAGACTTCAGTGATTTTGGTCTTCTGGGATTCTAACTTTTAGGATTGTGTCTTTTTGGATTTTGGCTCCAACTCTACTTTGTCAATGAAATTTTCCTCTACCAACATATAAACCTAGGAGCCAAATCACACCTTCTCCCCACCACGCATACATACCAGTTCTATACCTGGCTCCCCCTATCCTCAGTCTTCTGTATTTCTCTACCAGGCACTGCTATCCTGCATAGTTTTTACTTCATTACTCATTCTGTTTCCATCTATGTGACAATCAATTAAGAGGGGAAAGACTTTTTCATTGGTCTTTTATCCTTAGTGATTAAAATGGTCCCTAGCACATAAAACTTAAAAGTTGTTGACAAAATGAATAAATGAGTAGCTTCTCTGTGCTATTAATTAAAGTTTTGAAATTTTTGAAATAAATAATTGCACATTTAAATTTCAGGAGCAGAAAACAGTTCTTCCTTCAAGGCAGGCAGCACATGAGGTAATAGAAGACTTTCTCTGCAATTTTCTGATCAAAATGGGAATGACCAGAACTCTTGATTGTTTTCAGTCTGAATGGTAAGCACTTATATTTATATATATATTTATATATATATTTATGTATATATTTATATATACTATTCTAAAAATGGTAACTGCATTTAACAGGTGTTCTTTATACTGTCATAATGGCCTTTGAAATGAGTAAAGTTAGGCTAAATGAATGAAAACCTCTCCCATCTCCACCCAAGAAACCACAACGCGAATACACAATCTGGATCTCAATTGCAGGGAGATTTTTATTAAAAATATTTCCTAAATATTCAAAATTTAAGTGATTTTCAAAAAATCAAGAAAATTGAACATTTCCTGGAGGTATCTAGCAAAAATCTAATTTATGAAATATTCTCCCAATATTTTGCACAATTAAGGATATCTATTTTTGCATTTAGAAATTCTATTAGTTTCAATCTCCTAGCTTCCCCGCCATAGTCCGCATCCGAGTCTATGAAAGCTTTCACTTTCGCTTTCAATCCTAACTTCTTTCCCACAGTCCATATCCGAGTCTATGCCTAGGCTTTCAATAGCTTCTTCCGGCACCTTTTCCGTCCAGCTCTTTCCTAGGCTGTTTGCTAGTCTCTCTCTCCGATATTTTCCACTTCTTCCCGTTTCTTCCCTCCTAGGTTTCCTATCCGAGTCACGGCACCATTATGTCGCTCCCCCTCTTCGTGGAGGAACGACACTAAACCCTGCCTAGGCTTCATATCCGAGTCACGGCACCATTATGTCGCTCCCCCTCTTCATGGAGGAACGACACCAAGCCCTGCCTAGGCTTCCTATCCGAGTCACGGCACCATTATGTCGCTCCCCCTCTTCGTGGAGGAACGACACAGGACCCTGCGCTGTTCTTTCGTCTGCTCGGCCCTCCCCGGGTTTGCTGCTGGTTCTTCCCGGGTTGGCTACTGTCCCTTCCACCTCCGTGGAAGGGCGGTTCCCCCGCCACATTCCCCACTTCCGCAGGGGAGCGGCACACCGCCGGCCGGCTCTCTCGGGGGCTGCACAGGTGTTCCCTTAGATGTTCCCCTTAGATGTTCCTGGTGCATGCCGTCTCTCTCCTCCTTTATAGTCCTCCTCCACCAATCTTAACTCGGCTGCCCACATGCCGAGTACGCTGCTCTCCTCCAATCAGGAGCAGCTCCTGCAGCTTCTCAAGTTGGTGAGAGGCAGCTGGGTAGAAGCTGTTGCCTCCTCTCCCAGCGCCATATTGTGGGAGAGCAGATGCATAGAATAAGTCTTAATTCCAGTAACTTATCTAGTCCGAGTTGCTCCCCACATATTAGTACTACCTTGCTTATTTAGTATGTAATTGCTTATTTTTCTCTACTCATACAGCTGTTGATTCTTTTTCTATAAATAATGTTTGATTTGTAAGTGGAAATATATTTTCAAATATTATACACCAGATTTTCTTATTATAATTGAAAATTTAGATAACTGATGCTTATGAAACTGAGCATGCATGCTGTCTTAATATTCCTTTGCTAAGCAAGAATGTTACAGGCATGTTTATATTCATAAAATTCTTTAAATATTAAATTATATTCAAATTTAATAGCAATTTTATATTATAGAAAGAGGGAGAGAGATGATACATAAAAGTGTTTGTCATTTTTGAGCTAGATCATATACATGGGGTAATTTTGCAAATTTTGCTAATCTAGCTGAGATATAATTTTGTTTATTTTGATTCTCATCTACTGAGAATATACACATAAGAATAATCAGTTCCATTATTTTAAATTGTGTATCCACTGTTAATAAATTTATGAAGAGAATAATTTTTCATTCATATAGTCTAAGGAAAAAGTCAAGTTATGTGGTACAAAAATAATACTGCTTTTCTTAAATTTGGAAATAGTGTGAATGATTTTAAAAGGATTTTCATAAAAATATCCTCAATAAATAATAAAAATTTTGTGAAATTTAATTAATTTACAGTTCAAATAAAATGAAAGATTAATGTAAACAAGTTAATTTTTTGTTTTCTAGAAATGTGTAGGCTATGAAATCCTCACATTAGTTTAGTCCAGAGTTTGAAATGATTCCCTTAAAAATGTAGATCCAAATGTACCTTTGACAATTAGATAATTGTTATATTATCCTTTCAGATTTAGTAATTTAAATTGTTGTGGTGAAATTTCATTATTAGGATTTAAAAGTTTCCAGGTAGGGGCTTGTATTGTGGCATTTAAAAGTTTCCAGGTAGGGGCTTGTATTGTGGCATAGCAGGTAAAGCTGCCGCCTGCAGTGCTGGCATCCCATAAGGGCGTCACTTCACATTCTGTCCTGGCTACTCCACTTCCAATCCACTCCCTTCTAATGGCCTGTGAAAAGCAGTGGAAGATGGCCCAGGTGTTTGGAAAATGGCCCACTGCATGCAGATGAGAAACCTGGAAGAAGCTCCTGGCTCCTGGCTTCAGCCTGGCCCAGCCCTGGCTGTTGCCATCAGGGGAGTGAACTAGTGGATGGAGTATCTCTCTCTCTGTCTTTCTCCGTCTCTCCCTCTCTATAATTCTGACTTTCAGATAAATAAATAGAAGTCACCAGGTAAGTATACCTTTTAGCATTGTTTCAAAATCATGATATATAAAATGTGTCTTTTAATAAGGAGTTCGTAATGTAGTAGTTCAGATGATTATATGCTTATCCCTATCTGCTAGCTTGCAAAGAGATAGCATTGTATTGAATACTTTATTTTACCTGAGACAGTTATATTTTATCAGAAGCCTATGCCAATTCTGTATAGCATGATTATAAGAAAATTGAATATTTTATGTCATGATTTTTATTGTAAAAACAAACCACTTAAAATGTGTCATTGCTGTGATTAACTTAATCTTGCGAATGGTAACCAAACAAGATTTTTTCATTATTAGTTTGTAAAAGCAGACATACAAAATACTGCAGAAAAAGCTGATACATGTTTTTTTAGGTTTCAAACAGTAAAAGTGGTAAATTCTTTAGGTCCAGGATCAGCATACTAAGACCCTTGGACTACGTCTAGTCTGCCATTTGTTATTTTGGGGAAAACTCCATTGGAGCACAGAGATGACCGTTGGTGTTTGTAGCGCCATCACACTTAAAAAGCAGAGTTAGTCACAACAGAAACTGTGGCCCTCAAAGCTTTCATTGTTTGTTTGTTTTTGTTTTTTTTCAAATTTAAAGTACTTTTTAATTTTTCTGGCCCTGTCAAAAAGAACTTGTCAAATTCCTTGTATTTATTTTTATTATTTTTTCAGAAGAATTTATTTATTAATATATTAGATTCCCAGTGGTCACAGCAAATGTATGATAATAACTACAACACAATTCTTAGCAGTTGCTGGTTTAGTAAATGCTATTTTATGTTTATTTTAAAAGTACTTTAAGGATAGTGGTAATTTCTCTGGGGCCAAATTTAAAAAGGGGTTAAAATGGAGAGAGTAGTGTGATGAAAGAACCTGAGCATTTGTCCCCATCTCCTCTGCAGTGTGCTGGCCCTCTGGCTGTTAGGAGGTTAGGGCCGACTCACCCTCAGCACACACCATTCTTCTTTGTGCTTTCCTCTTATCGCCACCCTCTTTGTCTCACTCTGTCTCTTTTCAGCCAATAATTTTGAAAACAGGGGCTTGTTTTTCTTTTCAATTTGGAAGGGTTGGAGGGAGGGTAAGGGGGAAGTGCTACTATGTTCTAAATCTGTATATATGAAGTATATGAAAGCTGTATAACTTAAATAAAATTAAAAAAATTTAAAAAATTGCCTTTTCACTTCTTGGCTCTCTTGAGCTTCTGTGTTTTTACAATTTCCTTGACGATAAGGCAGTAATAAATGTAGTGGTAGTGTAACAAAGGTAGTGGTGCAATCATTTAAAATATTTAATTACTAACCTAATCATTCTTAATTATAGCTAAATTATAAATTAGACATATTCCTTTAATTTGAAAACAAAAATACTGCAGCTTTTAGCCAATATAATTTGGCACACTACATAATTATTCAAATATGGGCAGTATGGTTATGACTTTATGGGGGTGGTTAGATTTTTAAAGCTGGAGTTTAAAATTAAAATCATCCTTGGAAAAGCCCTCATTTTTCCAAGTATGTGTTGGAAATAATTATGATATTTTATATACAACTCTCGATGAATAATAAACAACTCTTTGTTCTTTCATCATTTAAATCTATTGTCATTTCTTCAATTAATGAGGCATTGACTTCTGATTATGTATCATGTAAGAATATTCCCCTTAATCAGAATTAAGTTAATCACATAAACGTCATGCTTCCTCTATTATGCTAACTTTTACTACATTTGAGAGATGTAAATTTCACATGTAAAGTTATCTTTATAAATTATTGCACTGTAATATCTAGACTGCCTTGTAGTTGAATGTTTAACTTAAGGTCAATATACTGTTTGCTGTATGTCAAGGTTTTAAAAATATTTATGAAGATGAAGCTTTTTCTTATCACTCAGGCATTTACCTTTTATTATTTTTATTGATAGAGCATGTTATATAATTTTACTTCTACCAGAAGCTGTATATTGCAGGTGACTACTGTCATATGTCCATTTTGTGGATAAGGAAATAGGCTTATAGAAGTTAGGGAATGTGGCTCAGTAACTGTCAACAAGTCATAGCCAGTAACTGACAGCGTAAATCCGGGCCACACTGATGTAAGAGAACAGTCTCCTAATCACAATACTGTACTGTGGAATTATACAAGGGAATGTTGAAAAGATAATACTAATAAATCTAAATTTTTATTCAGCTAGGGACTAAAAGAACTTAAGTAATAACTATTGATTTAGAGTCCAAATTGGTGCCTACTTTCTGTATAGACTTCAGAAATGATGGGGACTAAGCTCGCAGCAATACTTTATTTTTCCTATGAAGGACTCAGCTTCCTCAGTGGCAGAGTCTTGACACTACTGTGTTCCAGCATTTTCAGTTTTGGCTGTGATTAAGAGAACTCTGTCTTTGTTTTTATTTTTTTATTTAATAAATGTGAATTTACAAAGTGCAACTTTTGTATT